AGTCTACTTACTACTTTTAACCTCTACTTTTTATTATTATATTAATTTAATTTAAATATTATTAGTTTATTAAAAATTAAAACTATTATAAATTATAAACTATTTAGTTTAATATTAATAAATATTATATAAAAGTATTAAATTTATTATATAATTTAAGTTTTTAAATTAATTAAAATAAATAAAATAAAGTTATTATTCTTTTAATTAAAGTTTTAACTTTATTTTATAAATATAATTATTTAAAAGTAATTATTTAACTTATTATATAATTTATTAAATTAAAATATAACTTTTAAATAAAGTAATTATATTTTATTATTTAAGTTTATAATTTTAATAGTTTATATAATTAAAATAATTATTAATAATTAGTTTATAATTATATAAAATAAACTTTTATTTTTAAAAGCTATTAATATTTAAAATAATTAATATATTTTTAGAAAAGTTAAAAACTATAAGTTTAATTTAAAGTAAATTAAAATTTATAAAAGTTTTAAACTTAAACTTAAAGAATTTAATTTAATATTTATATTTATAAAAATAAAAGTATTTATAAAGTTTAAAAGTTTAAATTAAGTTAAAAGTTAAATTAAGTTATAATAATAGAAAATAATTAAATTAAAATTAATTATAAAATTATAATTATAAATTCTTTAATTTTATATTTAAAAGAATATTATATATTATATATTTCCTTTTAAATATAAAGTTAAAAACTTATAATTATAATTTTATAATTAATTCTTTATTTAACTATATTATATTATTATAATCTTATTTAATTTTAATTTAATTTAAGCTTTTTTAAATCTATTTAATATTCTACTTTAAAAGTTAAATATTTAAATTTCTTAAACTTAAGTTTATAATTCTTATAAATTTTAATTTACTTTAAATTAAGCTTATAATCTCTTAGTTTTTTAGAAATATATTAATTTTTTAAATAATAATAACTTTTAAAAAATAAAGGTCTACCTTTATATAATTATAAACCTAATTATTAATAGTTATTTCTTCTTTTATTTATAAATTATTAAATTTATAAATCTAAATAATAGAGTATAGTTACCTTATTTAAAGGTTATATCTTAATTTAATAGGCTTAGTAATTACTTTTAAGTAATCTTACTTATAAAGTAAATAGATAGATATCTACTTAAATAGAGTTAAAACCCTAATTAAAAGGATAGTAGCTTTATCTTTACTTATTTTAACTAACTTTAAAAGCCTAGATTATATAATAATATTATATATAATACTTAATAGTATTAAAACTAGATAGCTTATAGTTTATAATAACTTTAACTTTTAACGGATTAATTTATATTAAAGCTAATAGTACTAAATTAAATTAACTAGATATAGCTTAGTACTAGCTTAATATATTAGTATAGAAAAGTATCTTTTAATAATAGATAATATTATAAATATAGATTATAAAGTTACTATAAAAGTTTTATATAATAAACTTAATTAAACTAATTTTAAAAAATATATTATATTTTATTTTTTAAAACTTTAACTATTTACTTTTAATTTAATAATAGAATTAAAAAAATATAAATAGTTTATATATTATATATTTAAATTTAAAGAATAGATATTCGCATAGGAAAAAACGGCTGGTATATAGGTACAATATTTCCTCCTAGGCTATAGCTAATTAGAGGGCATAATTCAACCTCCTCAACTATACGTACCACCTATATGAAGTACTTTTACGCCCCCCCCCCCTATATAGACCTACTAATTCTCCCTATTAAACATACTCCCTTACTAACCGCTAAGAAGCCTCTATAAGGGCTTATAGGATTATCAACTAGCTACTATAGGTTGACTTAATTATAGAGGACCTTATCGGTAATAAGAAGGAGACTTAGGAGGAGATTAGTGCTTAGGGAATTATTAGAGCGCCTTAGGCGATAAGGAGGAAAGAAATAGTAAACTATTAGATTAAAAGCAATAATAAGAGGATTAAATATATAGTTAATAAGTGTAAATTTCAATTTTATATAGTAAGTAGGCGGTACAAATTAAGGTTAGCACACTGAGGGTCATTATACCTATGTACTAGCCGTTTTTTCCTGTGCGAATATCCGTTCTTTAAATTTATTAATTTTTTAAAATTTATATTATTTTTAATATTTATTATATTTAATGTAAAATATTAGTTAAGTATATTATAATTTTATATATAATATATTATTATTATATTTTATATATAAATATTAATTTATTAAAAATAATTATTTTTTAATTTATTTTATTTAAAAAAAACTTAATAAACTTTTTAATAATATTTATATATTATAAATTATAAAAGTATTTTAATATTAAAGGATTAAAAATAACTTATTTAAATAACTTATTTAAACTTTAATAATTAGATTTTTTAAAAAGAAGGGTTAACGTAATAATAGCGGGGAACTACTAGGGCCTTATGTAGTCTGCGGACCTCCAGTCGCCTTGGTCACCACCTGGGCACGCTTGGCCAATCTATTTTTTCTGATGTTTTTCTTTGAAACGCCTTCTTGCTTGCGCCTCCATCGGTGGCATTCTCGATGGCCGATTCATCCGGCTGGTCCAGCCCAGCGACCTTGTCGAGATCAGGGCCATCAAACCACTCAGCATATTGCTGGATCTCCGCAGAGGTTCGGGTGAGATACCTCCGATCGTGTTTGACCCACAGCATAGGTTTGGTGGGAATGTACCATCGGCCCACGAAACTCCCCTGAGCTTTCCCATCCACACACTTCGCATCCGACCTTGCCTCATCGCCGCAGACTGCACCATTCCCCTGGGGAGCCACGAATAATTCATCTCCTCCTATGTCGATGTAGGATGGCGTGACATCAAGACGGATGAAGCCACAGACATGGCATTGGATCTCGACGGTGGTACCGTCACGAAGCTTCATACCCCATTTCACCTTGTCACTGGGTCTCCTAGGGAATACCCCAAGGCGGTCCTCGCGGGATAGACTAGGCTCAAAGCTCGTGTGATACTGATTGTGCTGGCTCTGTGCTTGTTCGAACTGTTGCCGTTGTTGTGCCGGGGTTTGGCGAATGCCTGCCATCTGGGCAATGACGGCCAACTGTTCGCCGTACGTCTGCCCCTTGTCTGGGTCCTTGCACTGGGTTAGGGATTCCGGGTGCCATAGAAAGAACACAAGCCTGTCGACATGGCCATTCTCACCCCGAAGAATGTAAAATCTCGTCTATTGGTCGTCCTATAACGTGACCTCCTCCAGTAGATTCTTCTATAGTTTACTTAGGAATAGGCTTTAATTATTTATTATTTTTTTTAATTTTTAAATTAATTATAAATTTATATTTTAAATATAAAGTTAATAATTATTTAATATATACTTTTAAATTTATTTATATAAAAAGTTATTAACTTTTTATAAAAGTTTCTTTATTATATATATTATATATTATATAAAAGTAAGTAAATTTTTAATAATAAATTAATATATTTTAAAAAAAGACTTAATTTTTAAATACTTAAATTTTTCTTTTTTTTATATAATATATAATAAATAAACTTTTAATTTTTTAAAAAGTTAATTTATTTATAAAATTATATAAAAGGTTTTTAAAATAAATTTATTATTATAATATTATTATAATATTAATTATATATTTAAAATAAAAATTATAATATTTATTAATATTAAATTAAATAATTTATAATAAGCTAATATCTACCTATCTAACTCTAACCTCTACCTACCTAATAATTTTTATAAACCTACTTAGTACTTATTTTTTTTAATAACTCCCTTATATTTATAAGTACTTTTTAAGTTAGTATTAAGTAACTCTTTAATATAATTTTCTTTTCTAATTTTTAATACTTTAAGTATAAACCCCCTTTAGTATACTTTTTAATATACATTTTAATATACTTTTTAATATACCTTTTAATATACCTTTTAGTACCCCTTTTAACACCCTTTTATCTTTAAGTAGTAACTAATTATTTAGGTATTAATTAAATATTTAGATATTAATTAAATATTAAAAAGTTAGAAGGTAAGAAAGTAAAAGTAAAGATTATACTCTTTCTAACTTTCTAGCTCTCTTTTTAACCTTCTAACTCTCTAAACTTCTAGCTCTTTAATATTTAGTTAGTATTTAAATGCTTAGTTAGTACTTAAATGTATATAGGCTACTTAAATATATGTAGGCTAGAAGGTATACTAGAAGGTATACTAGAAGGAATGCTAGAAGGGGTTTATACCTAAAGTATTAAAAATTTAAAGAATCCTAGTTAGGTATATAGTTTTATATAGGCTCTATATATAAAAAGTTAGTATTAAGTAGGTCTGTAGAAATTATTAGGTAAATAGTAGTAAAAGCTAGGTAGGTAGATATTAGTTTATTTATAATTTATAATAACTTTTTTTCTTTATTAACTTATATTAAAGTTAATAATATTAATTTAAACTAATATAGTTTAATATAAAAATATAAATTTATTTAATAATAAATAATATTATAATTAATTAATTACTTTAAAAATAATTATTTTAAAAGATAAAAAAATAAAAGGTAGGAGGGTAGGAGAGTAAGAGGGTAGGAGAGTAAGAGGGTAGGAGAGTAAGAGGGTAGGAGAGTAATAGGGTAGGAGTGTAGAAGGGTAGGAGAGTAGAATATAAGAGGATTAGAGGGTAGGATAGTAGGAGAGTAAGAGGTAGGAGGTAGGAGGATATAAGGGTAGGAGGGTAGGAGGGTAGGAGGGTAGGAGGGTAGGAGGGTAGGAGGGTAGGAGGGTAGGAGGGTAGGAGGGTAGGATGGTAGGATATAGGAGGGTAGGAGGATAAGATGTAGGAAGATAAGAGGTAGGAGGGTAGGAAGGTAGGAAATTTATTTACATTTTATAAATTCCCAATTGACCCCATCAACAAGGACAGGGGGGTTGAGCCCATCGCCAACCCCGAATGTGTCACCAACACCAAGCTGAAGCACAAGACCACCGCCGGAGCCGACATGCACGTTGGTGTCACGGGCATGCTGGCCGTCTACAGGCTCATGCGCCACGCCAGCAACGGCAAGGCCTGGGACCCCGCTGCAGCAAAGGCCCGATGGGACGCATGGCAAGCCGCATACCCGGACGCCAGGCCAGAGGACAGCCTGGAGTTCTTTGGTGTTGACCTGGAGAGCAGCAGCCGCTACCTCAGCCACGAGGACGCCCCGCCTGCCACGCACTACATGGGCTACCATATGGAGGACTGGTCCAGGAACCACTCCATGCTGGCCACCATCTTCGCGGTGTGGAAGAAGCCCTGGGAACAGCTGGGGCCTAAGCGCAACGTCGAGGTCTACTCGACCCCGTTCGAGTCCCAGGAGATGGCCGAGCTTCAGATAGCCGCCAGCCACGGCGAGACGAGCGAGAAGGAGGACAACCGCCTCCGGATGCTGCAGGCCATGGCAGATATGGGCTTTGGCGACCTGGATAACGATGATACCGACTCGGATTTCCGCCGCATTGTCAACGACATTGTGAGCAGGCGCAACGACCCGGCCGCCAACAGGAAACTCGACTTCCAGCAGGGGATGGAGGAGCTGACCAGGGACCTCGCAAAGGTCAACGGTTACATGAACCTGGCCTACAGCAGCAATGCCACGAACAATATGAACAGGCCCGACCTGTTTAAGCGCGTCAGCCCTGAGACCACCTCGATGATATAGAGTATCGTCGAGGCGGTTGTGGGCTCGCAGCACGGCACCCCGACCAACCCCATTGACAACAACACCTTCAAGCCCAACAGCGCCATCATCGAGTTTACACGCAAAACCTCAAAGGCGTACCTCTCCAACTCGGCCAATACCGTCGACGCCCTCCGCGACGTTTATATGGCACGCAACCCCAGGCTGTCGCCCGAAGACGCCCTCAGGCAGGCAGAGGCCAGCATCGCCGCCACACATGCCCTGTCGTCATTCACCAGCGGCGAGATCCCAGTCGACCCACCATGGCCAGCCACGCTCCGGTCACTCGGCCTCGACCCCAAGATGGATGAGCTCGTCTTCAACGCCGAAAACACCCTTGTCACCATGGCCGACGCAGTGGGCAAGGGCGCCAAGGGCGCTAATGCGAGCACCAACGAGGAGATCCTCCAGAAGGCCGCAGTTATCCTGCCGCACCAGGCCAAGAGTAAGTCTAGCCTCACAAGTAGTCATTTTATCCCATATAAGACAGTGGCCAGCAGCAGTCTTCTTATCCCATATAGGACAATAGCTAACAGCGATCTTCTAATCCCATATAAGTAAAGAAGACCACTTCTCAAGCTTATCCCACCCTAGGTATATTCCTATAAGTAATATTATAACAGACGTTAAGATTATCCTTAGGTACATCTTAACCCAGATTAGCTCATTCCTTAACGCCAATACCATGGGACTCAGCAAGAGTCTGATTGCCGAGCTTATCATCTACATATTATCATTGCTGGCAAATGACCCGTCCTCAGGTACGAAGGGCCCATTCGACCCCCACGTCTTTATCTACCAGACGAAGCTGCTCGGGCAGTACACCTCGGACTGCCTGCGCTTCTTCTCTGGCCTCCGCGAATACTACATTGTTAGCTCCACGAAGATGGATCCCCCCCCCCGGCCCGGTGTCAAGACCATCCATGGCATGGCAGCCTGGGAGAAGTTACAGAAGATAATATACGACAGGCGAAACGACCCAAGCGTAGGCAAAACCACCCCCCTGACCCATATAGAATAACACGTGCACTCGAGACCTGTCCAGTCCGGATCGGTATAGTCAAGTTACCGCTAATGCGTCATATTAGATCACCAAGATTACCATCGCCATGACCATCCATCTCATCGAGAAGCGCTGTCTCTCAAGCGAGACATTCGTGACAGGCCAGGATAGCTTCGAGGAGCTAATCGGTCACACGAACCGCCGTATTGTCGCCACGCCTCGCAAGCGCAACTGGGCCACAGATGCCAAGGGATGGTTCAAGAACGCGTTTGACGGCGATGGTGCTGACGAGGCTGCCGCCGAGGGCGCACTCGACGGTACGACGGATGACGCGACCGCCAGCGGGACCGCAGATGCTAGCGAGGCCAGCGACGAGGAGAGCGAAGATGAGCCGGCTGAGGTGGAGGCACCTGCCAGCCGAGACTTCAACACGGCCTGCCGGAGGATCTGGGAGGAACACAAGCCGCCGGCTGGTAGCTCGGCAACGCCAGCCGAGGCCACGGGCGAGTTCGTGGTCAGCAAGATCGACCCGGAGGGGGGCGACCTCCGGGAGGGGTTCAACGAGACCCTTAGCGGCGTGCGTCTGGTCCAGGCCTTTATGCGCCACCACAAGATCAGGACGGGACAGCAGGCGCTCGAGTGGGCCAAGAAACACCCAGGGGGGATCCCCGTGTCGGGGCGCACGAGCTACATGCTCGGCCCCAAGTTCTTCAGCGAGGAGATCCTCAAGCGCGGCGAGCACCCCATCTACTGGCACGTGACGCTTGACGAGGCGCACAGCCTCCGAAACTATGGGTCCATACAACACATGACGGCCTCCCTGCTCCCCAAGAACACCATGTTGCTCCTGACGGGCACACCCATCTTCAACAGCATGAGCGACTTTAGGGCATACATGTTCCTCTACGCCGCCCACAGCGGCATCGACGTCTACCTCAAGCTGCTCGAGACGGATGTCCACCGCCTGGACCGCGCGTTCGAGTCATCAGAGGACCTCATCCGCCTGGGCCTGGTCGAGCTCAAGGACGATGCCGGCAGGGGGTGGGTCGACGCGCTGTTTGCGTGGGCCGACAAGGACCTGGCCAGACGCCAGTGGTGGTGCCTCCTGGCCGACTTTCGCATCCTGGCCAAGAGCCCTGACCCCACGACGAGGCTCGTCGCATGCAGGATGTTCCAGAGGTCCTTCATGTCGCGCCGCACCATTTCGACGCCGCTCGTGGACCACATGGGTCGCACCGTGTACCCAACCACCAGGCTCCCGCCGTGCCACGTGAGGACGGTCTATGTCCAGCACTCGAAGGACCGCTTCCAACGCCTTGTCCTCCTCACGGACCTGATGAACAGCGAGATCAAGGCCGCCAACGAGGAGCGCGCAATGGGTGGCGGGGCCTGGATGAGGAGGCGCCGCGCGGCCGCGGGCAGCATGGGCGCCCGCCCGGGCCAGCGCCCGGTCCTCGGCGACAACCTGCTCGAGTCGCAGGTGCGTCACGTGCTCAACCTCGCCTAGGAGGGTGACGCGCCAAAGGCATCCGCCCTTGGGTTCCACCGGGTCATGATCGCCGTTGCCAGCGACAACCACCTGTTCCGCATGTACTTTGACCCCGAGGTCAACAGGAAGGACCCCTTGAAGAAGCTGTCCGCCGCCGAGATCAGCAGTGTCAACCAGGTGCTGGACCCGCGCGGGGTTAATTTAATCTTTTTTAGATCTTAAAAAAAATTAAATAATTTTATAGAAGAGTGGAGATTTATAAAGTAAAACATGAAGAGAGAGTAGAGTATAAAATAATAAGTACTACTAGATAATTAAAGTATTTCATTTAATATTAATGACGAGCAGTTGGCTATTACTGACCGAGTGGCAGGCATTCATCAGAGCCCGGAACAGCAAGACTACCAACTCGTTACGTCACGAGGCTTATGAGAGAAGTATTCTGAGCCTAACAGCATCAAGATGTCCCGTGATGCCAAGATGGAAGTGCTGAAGCGGAAACTGAACGATCAGAAGGTCAAAAACGGTCTGAAGCTTCACGGTGACATCACAGTCGAGGTAAAGTGCCATTTCTGTGGCTTCCTCCGCCTGGACGTCACCCCGTACTTTCTGAAGGTGGATGGGACCGAGTTCTATGTTGCAGCAAGGGCGTACTGTCCCGTATGTGCGGAGGAAGAGGGCAAGGTCCTAGGCGATGGTGTCTGTCGCTGGTTCATCACTACAGAATCCATTCTCTCGGTCAAAGATAAACCGGAATACCTCAGCAGGTCGGCTAAAGACCTCATCCGGTATGTGGAGTGGTTTTATGGTCCCGGTTCCGACAATGTTGCGGGGTTAAGTCAGTCAGTGGACGCCATCATCGACAGCCGTGACATCGGGACGAACGAGAAATCAACAGTGAAGACACCGCGGCTGCCAAAGAGCGGTGACAAGGGCGGAAGGAGGCCTCCAGACTACATACAGGAGCGACAGTACTACTACTACGTCGACCCCCAGTCAAAAGAGCGGTACAATTCCAATTTCACAACGCTTGGCTTACTCAAAGTTCATTTCAGTGGGAAGCACCCGAGCGCCATATGGGACGAGACGCTCGTTGAGGCGAAAGTCGGTGACCCAGACGGAATGGTAGCCCCAGATGTTATTTCAACCGGCCTTCAGCACTGGTCTTCACCAAAATCCGTTCCCGGCGTCATGATCCCAACCCCTAGGAAGGAGGTCATGGCCAAGACAAAAACACAATCATCGAATGCCAAGAACACCCTACTCCAGTGGCTTGTTAAGAAGTCCGAACCCGTCATCCAGCCCCGTGCCAATGCTGGTATGGCAGATGAGCCAGATGACGGTGCCAGTGGTGACAACAAGACACGGGAGGGGACGGAACCGGGCACGACGAATAAGCGGACAGTCGAGGTCTGTGATTACACCTGTGACGACGACGAGACCTCACACGTCACTTCAGCTGTCCGCCAACCGGCCGAGGCCACGCGGATGAACAAGTGCGTGCGGACTTAGATTCTATCTAGGATATTTCCTTGTTATTTTTTTTTTTTTTTTTCATGTTCGACATATCATAGCTCATCAAAAACAACCTGTTAGCTTTCCTCACAATTAGTATCTTAGCTGTATACATAGCTGTGGATCTCTTCAGGCACTTGATTTAGACCCGTCTAGGATCGCGGTGACAAGGGCGGAAGGAGGCCTCCAGACTTCACAAAGCCCCGGTATCTCTGTTACCACGTCAACCCCTCCTCCCAACAACGTTGTGACTCGAGCTACACCCAGCTTCATTCCTTGGAGCACCATTTCAAACAGCATCATCCCAGGGCTTCATTCGACAAGAAGCTCGTGAGAAGAAGATCACTGCCGAAGACAAGACTGATTCGTCCGATGCTCCGATCAGCCTCCAGGAATGGCTCGTCCCCCAGCCGCAGCCCGAGACCACGAAGAAGACCACCGTCCAGGGCAGTCTGAAGCAGTGGGCTGTGACCAAGCCCCATGCAAAATACGATCCGTCAGTCGAGCTGGATGACTATGCCGGTGAAGACGACGAGACACTGGAGGACACGGCGGCTGCGCGTCAACGAGCCTCTGCGCGGGCCGCGGCGCGGGGAAAGAATAATCGTAAGCACGCGCTTAATTACACTCTTTTACGTTCCAAGCGTCAAGACGGTGCCCCTTAGCCTTGTCTGTGCGTCGCAAGGCTGAGGCCACAAGCACTTGTCGCATTATAACTATCGTTATCGACATTGTATTCTTTTCAAGCGCTGGGTCTTGAGCGTTTACCACTGTATGAAGGCGCCACGTACATTTTACATGTGTGGGGATTAAAAACGAAACCACCACTTCCTCCAGCGGCGTGACGCCCAATTGTGTTCCCATGATAAGGACATTGCGACTTGGGAGTCCCTAGTGGAAGATCTGGTGCGTCTTGGTAATGACAAATCGACCTCGAATATCTGATCGAGCCTTCCGGACCGCTAGACGTCCCCTCGACGTGCTTGTGAGTATATCCCACCTTCAAAACGTCTCACCTGAAGTACGGGCACGTCCATAACAAGACCAACCCGTCTTTGAGGTTACAGGACGACAATATTGGGGCCAACGATCGCGTTCGGATACAGGACATAATCCCTTTCAGGCACGACTTCGTATCTGACAAGAAGGGGGCGTCCCGTGGCAATGCGAGTACCCCAACTGGACTCAGATCCAGGGAGGATGCCATAGGTTCAACAAGGAGTTGCTGAGACATTCTAAAGTCATTATCTTTGTGGGCAATGACAATTGTACAACATGGAAAAGTTTGCTCGATCTCGAACAAGGCGACCGGATCCAGCAAGTGCAGTTCAAGGTCTCGGTGGGCGGCTGCAACGTGAAATTGCTCCTCCACATTTACCACCAGTCGACAGCTTACTATAGAGATCGGATATTCGCACCCACCAAAACGGAGGGTATACCCAGGCCCCAAGGGATAACCTCTCATAGGACAACCTCTCAAAGGATAACCTCTCATAGGATAACCTCTCATAGGATAACCTCTCATAGGATAACCTCCTATAGGATAACCTCCTATAGGATAACCTCCTATAGGATAACCTCTTATAGGATAACCTCCTAGAATAACCTCCTATAGCTTGTAGGATAACCTCCTATAGGATAACCTCTTATTAGATGACCTCCTATAGTATAGTCTCCTATAGGATAATCTTCTTAAGGAAAACATCTTATGTGATAATTACTCGTGGTTTGGTGCTAAACTACGTACTTTGATCTCGAGTTCCCTGGTATGGGTGTACCCTCTGTTTTGATAGGTGGTGGTTATTCCAGCCCTTTTAGTATGGGGTTGTTACTTGGGTAACCTGTAAGTGATGGGCTAGTACCTAAATAAGCCCTTTTTACGATAGCCCCTTTTTCTAACCCCCTCCTGCTCTATAAGTAGGAGAAAAATTTTTTACTTTCCTCTCTTTAATTAATAGTAAACTATTATTAAATTAAATTAAGAATATAAAAAAAAAAAATATTTATTTATTTAAAAATAAAAGATAATAATTAAATTATATAATAAGTATTATAGTTAATTTACTTTTAAGTTATTATTTTTTATTTTTTATTATAATTAAATATTTAAGTTTTATATTTATTTTTTAATTTAAATTTATAATAATTATTTATTTATAATTAGCTTTATTTAAATAGCTTTAATATATTTAATATTAAAAGAAATTTAATTTTATATTTTAAATATTAAAATAGTATTACTCTAAATAGTTAAAATAGAGGTTATATTATTTTATAAAAAGTATTAAAAGGGGTAGTTTTTAAGAGAAATATATTATTTTTTTATAAGATAATAATTAGATATATTATTTTAATTATTTATAATAGGTTTTAAGCTTTATTTATTTATAATTTAATTATTAAATTAATATTTAAAATATATTTAATAAGTATAATAGTTTAAAATATATATAATTTTAACTTTTATTTATAATATAAAATTTAATAATAATAAAGCTATTTAATTTATTATTTAAAAAAGTAATAATAAATAAAGTAGAATAAAAATAATAACTTTATTTATATAAATAAGTTATAAAAGAATAATACTTTATTATTATAGAGATATATAGTAAAATTAATAAAAAATAGGGTCTATAATTAGCCCCTTTAAAGAGAAGAGTTCTCTTTTTATAATATTTAATTAAAACTTAATTATAATAATTTAAGATAGTTAATTTAATTAATTTTTAATACTTTTATAGATTTAAAGGGATAAAGTTAGATATAAAGTAAGTAAAATACTCTTTATTTTAAATAAAATAGATTAAATAGTTATTTATATTAATAGTTAGATAATTTAAAAGCTTATAAATAATTAATTTACTTTATTAAATAATAATTTAAATTAAAGGTTTATTAAATATATAATTAATACTTTATAATATCTCCTACTTTTATAGTTTTTCTATTTTTATAGTTTTTAAACTATTATATAAGGGATATTTTATTCTTTTTTATTTATTTACTTTAAAATATAGTTATTATTTAATCTATTTAACTTATTAATATAATAATTAACCTCTTATATTAAAAATATATATAATAAATATATTATTAATCCCTTTTTATTTTAAGAATAATTTAGTTTTTAATACTTTTTAAAGTCCCTTTATCTTTAAGTTATCTATTTATTAAATTTTTAAAGTCCTTTATAGAAGTAATAAAATAGAGAAAGGTTATTATTATATAGTTTATTTTAAATATAGTTTAATTTTATAAAGTTAGTAGTAATAATATATCTATATTATTATTATTATTATTATTAATTCTATATAGTAACTTTTATTAAAGTAGTAATAAAAATAGTTATAATAATAAAATAATAATAATATTTTTATTAAGTTATAACTATTTTATATAACTTTCTACCTTTTAGTTAGTATAGATAATTATAGTTATTATTATAATAATTTTATATTATTTTAATAGTCTTTATTATTAGGTAAAACTTATATATATATTTCTATTTTAATTTAAAGTATATATTAAAAGTAATTTTATACTTTAATATAATTAAATCTTTCTTTATTTTATTTATAATTTTTTATTTTTATTAATTTATCTTATTAAAAGATAATATAGTATAAATCTTTAATTATAATAAATATTATTTTCTTAATTATAATTAATTAAGTTTTTAAATAGGTTAATATATATTTATTTAATCTTTTT